TTGTGCGGCAGTGAAGCATTAGTGCCAACACTGATGTTACCGTCATTGATGATGATGATGATGATGATTTTGTGACGAGGCTTTTATTGTTGTCAGTTTCCATTCGGCCTTCCTGAATGGGTATCTGCAGGTGTAGGCACCTCGGAATGAATGTAGTTACCTCACACTAAATCCCTTCCTCGTCCCCCTTTACACATTTCTTCACAATAAGGTTTTCAAATAAATCATGATTGTACAGCAGCAAAGCATTGGTGTTGAACATTGATGTCATGTTGTCAATGATTATCAGGGAAACTGCATCATAGCTGCTTCCGTAAATACTGCGATGCTTGGGGGAAACACGCTAAAGTCACACCAACGGGGCTTCACCTCCAGGCCTCTTCAAGTGAGCACTGTCTGTTCGCGGTTGACCTTTCTGACAAGGCTACACCCGAAGGGACAAATAATCTGGTCAACATAGCCCTAAGAATTATCAAGTAAAACAAGCCTGCCAACCGCAGGAAGGTGGAAGCCGTAGGTTTTGAGTAAACTCAACCCCAGTGAACATATATTTAGCAGTGAATCCCACAAGTCAATAAATATTGCAGATCAATTTGAGGGGAACTAAGGAGCATTCGATGTTCAGGTGGGTTGCCTAATACAAGGTGAGATAATATTCCAAACCCAACAATGTTGGAACACCTTCCCGAGTCGTGTCTCTCTCAAGAAACTATCCTTGTTCTATTAGGGGCTTCTGCTGGAATTCGGATGCCCAGGGAAGTATTTCACGTCGTGCAAGTTGACAAACGTAGAAAGTGCAATCTGTGGATGAGAGTGCAATGCAGCAGTTAGGATGATTGGCGTTTCACCCAGTAGGATACCAGACAATATATATTCAAATGTGACCACGCCATTTTGGACGCCCCCACTAAACATGCGATCGGAGTTCGAAGTGCTTAGCTATCCTGAGACGGTGGGGTGATCCATGTTACTCAGTACTTAATCAATTTGCTAGCGTGCCTTTTCTGCGGTCAGACGTTTTCACAGGGTAGATGAATGTACGTTGAGAGACAACCGGACCTATGGAAAAGTATCATTTCTCTTGCTTTGGTTTGTGCCAAGCTATTATTCGAAAACTGTCCAGCATAAGCTGATTGATTTGAGCTGAGGACCTTAAAAAGTTTAGCCTTCTTCCACACAATATATTCTGTTAATAAGGCTAGTGAAAGCTTGCCAGTGCAGAGTTAATTCCAATTCCCCTTTCCAATTTTCGAATGTTTTTGCCAGATGCAAGATGTTGATGTGTACTACCAAGTGGAAACATTCCGGACAAAGCACAAGTGAGTAGTTCGCACTATTCTATGTGTATCACAAAAAGTATTTTCGATAAGTTAAGGGAAGGGGCTAAACTTTTGTCCTCACTTCACATAGACCTATAGATAGCACATATTCGAACGGAGGACTATCCGAACGTCGTGCTCGGTGTTAGAGGCAAACCGAACAGCGCCCTGCAAGAGTACAACTGTTGTACTCTATGCAGAGTATGAAGAGAGCTTGAGGCACATTTCAGTACTATTTTTTGACCAAGATGTATCATAAAAAAATTGGAAACGGTCTTTGGGGCAATGGCGAAATCAGCATCATTGCGAAGAAACATGGCTTCAGAAAACTGAGGTGGAAGTATGAAATTCGCGCATCTAGTTTTCTGCGTTTGCTTTCCTTCTACCTTCGTTATCATTAGCTTCAAATAAAATCCGACGGGTGAGTAACTGTCATGCTGCTAGGTGTCCTGATCTGGTTTAGATGAAACCTTCCCTTTTGAACTTGCTTGTACCATTTCGAACCAGATTTGAGGAACCCTGACAATCTATATATTTCGCACTTTTCAGACCCGGAGAGACCAGATTCTGTGAACAATGGTTACGGGGTGTGATCGACAGTAAATTACGTCTAATGCCGTATGTGACTTTTTGATCAAAGATCACGAGCGCCCTCATGAGGCTAGCAAACACAGCCATATGGATGCAAATCGAAGATACATTACCGTCCTTCTCGTGATAGAGTACGAACAGAAATACATTCCTATTCGTTCTAGTGAACTTTTGCAAACGACGGGCCTAGAAATATAAGCGACATATTGACTATTGCGGTTGGATTCTCCGATACAAGCGCCAATGTATGGCAACTTCAAATTCAAGTCTCAAAATACGCACCTGCATGTCTGCCATACCTTGGCACTTCATCACCATCGAGAGCTTGACATCGGTGTTCAACCCCGATGCTTCGTCACCGTATAAACACGATTTAGTTGAAAGCCTTATTGTGAAGAAAAGAATAAAGGTGCACGGGGAAGGAACTTGGTGCTAGCCTACTACAATCATTCCGAAGTGCCTACACCTCCAGACACTCATTCAGGCAACCCAGATAGAAACCGACAAGAACTTCATGGACTTCGATTAACAGCCAACCAGGCGCTGTGGGGATCACGCCGTCTCAGTCAGTTCCACAACCGATCCAGTGAAATAACCTGCGAATAGGACTTGAACCATACTCAGACCATACCGCGGACGACTAATGTCAAATGCGAGTAAACCCAAACCATCGACAACTGAACCCAGAACAAATGAGTTGGCTGCGGCAAAGTGATCCAACTCACCGAGGTACTAAAGAGACCACTTGAAATGTCTTTGCTCGGTTCTGGTATGACCTATTTGAGCGGAGCGGATTAACTAAGTGTTCCTTATACGGACGTGTGATGGGGGTACGTGGCTAACAAAGGTTACCATAATCAATAGACGGATCTACAATTGTAATATTGGTCCTCAGTCGCACAATCAAATACTCAAAAGGCGAAACGTGACCGCTGGCCTAAGTCAGGAAACAAGATGAGAAAGTGTCAGTAGTTCGCATTATTGAATCAAATTGAGATGTGCGCAAATAGAAAAACAAAAACTGAAAATAAGCAGCAACGTTGTGCCAGCTTGTACAAGCGGGCCAGTGATGCACTTAAAGCATAATGGAACGAAGAGAATCTAGGGACTAACAATATTCGAGGGCAGACGCACTCCTATTCGAGAGAACCACACTTTAGGAATTAAAGTGATGGCATTTACAGTAAAGTTCAATAGAAGATTAAGAAACAACGATACACAATGCGATGCAGAAAACAATGTACTAGTAGTTTAAAGGCAAACAAAGTTAATAAGAGCGACAACGGGGAAATCAGGGTTGCTATGTACATATGCTAAGTAATGCAAAATCACAGGCATCAAGCAGCGTAAATGTACATACAACGTTCGACCGGAAAGTGGGACTGGGAATGTTAAAAGTATCGGTGAACGGGGAAAACTTCATGACATTCATAGTGATGAAGGACGCACAACGCAGGACAGTTAATGGCAACTTGGGGTACAGGCGAGAAGCTGGTATTGCATGGGTGCCCAAACAGACTGAAATCCAAGCAGTACACAATCGGCGTAGAGGTCAGGAAGGGGGCGCGAGCGTTTAGCTGGTACTGGCAGCCAGGCAGCAAACATAAATACTTGCTGGCTTACACACTACCAGCAGAAAGGTGTAAAACCCATGTATATCACTTTACAAGGTGAACGGAGGGAATGTATGTATGTATGGGCACGGCATATGGAAGTCAACATTTGGAATGAGATCCAACTGAAAAACAAAGTGAGATAGGTAAGAAAATCTCTTAGGAAAAAAGGGATAAAAAGTAGTTTCAGAAAAATAACCATACCCTAAATCTCTTTTGTTAGGTTCTCGCCAAAATCGAGCGTTAAGATCCAGATCATCTCTATATCGTCCTATAGTCAGACTGACTCCCGGAATCGGAAGCTCAAGAGGATCGCAGTTATCCATCAACGAATGACGGGAGACACTGGTCAACTACGTATCCGTTTGCGGAAGAACTCCTCATGATTACAGAGAAAGCGTGGAAAACGGGAAGTTTGAGGTAGAAGAAAACTTGAACTGTGTTAATACTTGTCGGTCCATTTCGAATTACGCGTACCTTTATAGTACACGAATACGGACCGAAAAATCGCAGTTGGTGAACCGCAAAACTAGATTGATGAACATCCTTAAACTAGAACAAGCGAGAATACCAGACGTACGGTGGAATGATGGCTTAAGGTATGTATTATTTGCCGACAAAGAGAACGCACTCTGCAGCGGCCAGCTTTTTAAGGCGAATTACACTTTTGCGCCGCTGACGGATCACTTGCCGGATCAATCATACCTAACAAAGTGTACTTTCACACTAGAGCCGCCTAACACAACAAATCACATTTAGTGCCACCATCCGCGATAATCTAGTCATCCACTTAGACCTAACCACGTAACCAGTGCGATTGGTTGCTGAAATATCTGTTCGGGCGTACTGGCAGTCATAGTTTGGGGCACCAACAGAGGTGGTATGGGTGGCAGAAGAAAACGGGTGTTCCTGGATAACAGGTCAATTGACAATTAATGCAGAGCAAGCTTGTGTGCGTAAAACTCAAGATTGGTGGGAAGTTGATGGTGTGACCTTAGCACACCGAGAACCCAATCTATTCGTCTCATCATAGTGGTGAAGCATGGGTCCGTATTGCGTGCAGTGTAGGAAAACAACGAGGAGAAACAATACATGAAAGCGCACATACCCTTTTCAGTGTGACTGGCCCTATGCGGAGCGCATCGAAATATCGTCTGAACGAAACTTGCTAACAAGTGGGCCTGATGCCGACTGTATGAGGGTGCGGTGTCCCGTTTAGTGTCTCCAGTACTTGAACAGATATGCTGTTCCCCACTTCTGACTGGAAGAGCCCACAGGTGTATTACGGTGAATGAACGAAAGACTGATTACGATTTCTTTCAAATAATGGGTAGCACATCTTGCGATGTGGGTCCATTTTACTAGTGCTTTCCCTTTTTAGGAAAAATAAGGACCAGGATCTTCCATTGTAACTCCTGAAAGTTGTGTTAGACAAGATGAATGCCAGAATGTCATCTACGGGGCGTTTTGGTGACCCTCAGAAAATTTGTATGAGAGCGACCATCAAGGAACTGATAGAACGTAAACAAATGGAAAAACCGACCTACATCCTGTGGGTTTCCGGATGGTATGGAAGACTCCTTGAAGAGCTTGGAAGCCCACCACCCTGCCACAAAACAACTGATCTTCCCTGATATAGGTATATTCCGTTCAGCTATAACACCCTTTCGGTGTCTAGCTGCTATGCCACCAGAAGGAAGCACGAGGGCTGGGATACTGTCAGGTTGCCCAAGCCTAGACAGGGAAAGTCGAGAGGCAGAAGTCGGGTTCGAACCACGGACCTTCCGGTCAGTGGATTCGCGCTCTAACCACTTGAGCCATCTCGCCTGCAACCAATCAGATGAAATTGTGTCTCTGCCGGATCGCTGCTCATCACTGTCACCAAATTCAGGATACGGAATGTAGTGGAGTCCTGCACTCCATATCCGCCTTTTTGTGAAAAGCCTTTCACCAAACCACTGACGATGAAGACACTAAAGACAAACTGAGAACGTCAGACCCAGGTAACATTTAGTTAGATCGTTCACGGCATAGCGGCTGTTAGCATGTCTCTCCCTGCCTGAGCGTCCTGTGTGCATTTCTGCAAATAGTGTAAGCTAGAATGCAAAACATTGAACCCAATTCGGTGTGAGTTAAAAATTCGGATGAAAGGTATATCGGAGGTTGGCGGGCATCAGACGAAGGTGTATGGACTCACTCAACTCGCCTACACAGTTGAAGTAACATGCATGTTTGGTGCAGAGCTGGATGTGTTACTAAGCGTAACTAATCCAGAATCCAAAATAGACCCGACAAGGGAATGAGGACGGAGGAAAAACAGGTATTTCGGGTCACATGCCGAGCTAAGATGAAAATAGCGGTGTAAATCGCTATTGGTCGGAGTGCACTTCCAACGCTAACCACGATGAATGGTAGCAATTAGATTTTGTAAGCAACTGTGTCTTCTGGATAATGTAGCCCGATAAAAAAAGGGTAGCAAATCCATCATACGTAATGAACATTTTCAAGTCAAAAACCCATGAATAGAGGTACCCAGCCCTATGTAGCGTAGCATTTCTACTCCCTAACATACTGATTCAATGTATACCAACTACAGCAGCGATAAGCAGTTTTTCACAGTAAGATCCCAGCAAAAGGAAAGCACAAAAACCAACAGGTGGACAAAACAGCAAGTCTGGATCAGATACCGTCAGTGTTTAACTTATGCGGTTTATTATAAGTTTGCCCTTTCACAAATTCATCAAAGAGTGCAGTGGGAGTGACTGCCTGAGCAGGTTCGAAGCGCGAAGTCCCAACCCAAGCCCCCCCACCCCGGGCAGACACTTGGCATCACCTGTACGCACGGTGAATAGCATTTGTTTAGCCGATACACTGAATCCGTTGAGGAAGCCTGAGTAGTCACAAATAGGTGCGTGATCACTCGTTACTTTGTGTACTCACATCACTATCGCTTCAACAGCTTTCCTCCTGTCCTAGGGTGAAGGCAACATGCGTGTCGTATTAGAGCTTACAGTAGTGGGAATCCAAATCAAATCGTCTGGCACGTTATTTTCACTTCACCAATACAAGCTGAAACTAGCTTATCACGTCTGAAAAGTCCAGTATGTTCGTGCCTAAGTGATGTGTGTGTGGTTTCATCCGGAAAATCGGACGACGACTCAGTAATTATACTCATTAGTTACGTACATCGACCAACTACGCATCACGGTGCTCCGGATACGCAACCCGACGGACTATTCACACCTAACATACGACGTCCGAGTGCTCTCAAGCAGTTGCAGATTTTTTGAACATGCTCTTTTCAATTCCTGACAAGATTATTACTGCTGGTTCGCATAATCCTCAAAGAGAACCTAACAACTGTCGGATCACTCGTGAGTAGTAAAATGACCTTGCGAATACGAAGTATAGGCCAAAACAAATCGAGCGTTTCGATCAGCCTGAACTTATCTGAACGGTTCAACATCATGGTCTGTGTCGTCGGTTCGTTTAGATTACTGTTAAATTGGACTCCAGATCATCTGTAGCCTTGGATCACATTACTGGAGGAGGGCTAACTCAACACTTTTCGGTCATTAGTGGGCTATGAACGATATTCCACAATGAAAATGCGGTGTTATAGACAGGTATTTACTGCCATAAGATAAACTGGTACGATGTAGTGTTTGTTCAACTCAACAATCAGCAGACAAAATGAAACAGACTTGACTCTTAAAACCTGCTTGTACACGGTGAATTATTCGGCTTTCTGTTCATGTGCATTCTATGTCTAACCGATGCATTTTGCAGTAAGCAGTAAGACACACCTGGAACCAATAGCCACTATAATGTAGTTGTAGTCGAATGCCTAAAAAGAAGCTTATGTTGAATGAATCTTGAGGAAATACACTTCTAAAGCCTGAATTGACCTGTGGGCTCACTTGAGGGAAAGCTCACTGAAGTATCCTCGGATCAAGGGCGTGCTTTCGATCGACCACTATTGGTAAGTCGTTGAAGTAGTCCAGTAACCACTGGGGTGGAGTGACGCCCGCTGGCAGCAGACAATGACGTATTGGAAGCATTAGGAGTGTTGGAGGCATTCGACTGTGATCGACCACAGGAACACTGATCCAAGTTATGGGTCATGGAATGATGCCGTGAGCCATGTTTTCGCTGTCCGGTGCCATGAAGGAGGCATCCCGAGTTTCGGGAGCCGACTGAAGATGATAGGGTTTTCGGAGGTGAAGAAGATGTCGTGAAGTTTGTTGGTGAAGCACCTGAATTGGGAGAACAAGTGGGATTTGGTGTGGCATTTTGTGCCTCTGAAGCAGAGGTTGGGCTGCCAGCAGAGATGCCGATCGGCACGGGTTGAGATGTATTGGGAGGATATATACCAACTGCTGCAGCACGTACGGAGGCCAGATTTCCGACATCATCCGCAGCACGGTTGATATTTGTGTAATCACGCCCAGTAGGTCGGAGGTCCTAAAAAGATCATAAAAACAGTGAGAAACGAAAATCGGTTAATAGCGAACAGAGAAGGGGGTAATATCGAAAGGTTGAAATCGCTCTAACCGTTGGATGGAGGTAAAATAGAAGCTCACATCTAGGAACTTGTCAGCTCAATAACGGGTTAAAACATCGAGAACATCCGAAATCCTGCTAATAGGTAAGACCACAAGAAGACCCAGCAATCTACGAAACAGCTATTCAGGCAGGAGTAATAATTCCTGAAATGGGATGCGTTGCAGTGCTGCAAAACAAACGAGTCTTTCGTATGGATGGCGATCAATTCCTCAATGGAGCTTTCACAATGTAGACTTGCGCAAAATGTGGATTCACGCACCTTAATACGACTGACTTTGTGGATCCGAAGTACTTACCANTATTGTCTGAACTAAGCCTCTATTTCAAGTTGAAGCACTTATCCAAAGACGTCGCACAGACTGTCGAAAAGAGAAGGGAGAAGTTATTACTACGAAATAGAACCTACGGATAACAACATCACTAGCCATATGACCAATGGAATACGCTAGTTTATCTATGACCACCATGACGTTGCGCTAATGGTCAATCCTCGAGGACATTTATAAAATAGTATAACGGGGAAGATGTGGTATCATGCCGCTTTGCGTCGATTGAAAAATCGAATTCTGTTGCGGAATTTGCGGGGCTACTTTGAAAACATTTGCGTTTCTTTGGCCGACGAATGATTGAAGGCAATGAATCTCCAGGAAGACTCGTTCGGGAGAAGATCTGTGTCCATTTTTTGTATCTAAGATGCAGATTAGTTTTGCTTCCTTGTTCAATGGTCTGTAACCGGTCAGTTGGCATTCCCGAATAAATAACTCCACAGCGAAGGCCTTCTTCCATTCACTCGTATATGCCGGTAAAAAGAGGGACTTCTAGAGTCGGCTGTTTTTAGTGCGACATGGCGGAGGTGGCAAGTACCCTGTTCTAACTAGATAAAAAGCTCATGTAACCCATTTGTATTTCTAAGCGATCCAAGGGGTACCGAGCACTCAACCGGCCAAAGGAGATACATGCATTCCATAGATGAGTTGGATGGAGAAGGAAAAATATTAACTGAATGATGAGGGATAGGGAGGACTGGTCGTCTTACAAGGCATTTGAAGGCACATTCCAATCCGCCTCAAAAGGATTGATTTAGTGTAAAAAGCGGACCACCCCATTAAATAGGTTAGTTGATTGACCACAAGATAAAAAAGGAATGCTCAGCTGTGAGAATATGTCCAGCACCAGAAGCTGCGGTGTTTTATTATGAAAGCAATTACCAACAGTCTCCGTCATATCGGTCCGACTAGCCTTCCGTGATGAGGTCCGTGTGATCTTCCATTTGCATATCTAGAGATGCAGCAACACAAGGCTGCCAATCGATGCCAATGGTGGTCTTGTCAATTTCTGTCTGGATTGTCTGGATGTGTAGGCACCTAGAAATGGCTGAATTAGCACTAAGTCCTTTCTCCGTCTTCTTTCATTCTTTCCCTTACACTAAGGTTTTCAAATAAATGACGGCTGTACGACGCCCAAGCAAACTAATTACGTACTGTGTTTGAAGGTCCCTTTGTCTTCACGTCAAAAAGCTACATTCTAGCCCTTAACGAAGACGGAACAGAATGTCCCTAGGGAGCCTGTTCCCCGATACACACAGTAAAAATTGGAGAGAAAAGTCTGCGGGTTAAAACACTCCACATTACAGAATCAACACATTCAGATAAGGCGCGAACGAGGAAAGCAGACCTACATTGTCCAACTTCACACGTTCGGACATTGTATTCACGTATTGCTGTACTGCTTTGTAGATAAATCG